GAGAATCATTTAAATAGAGGTCATGTCCTTTAATAGGCACCAGGTTCATAGTTTCTACACAGTAGTGGCTATATCCATGGAAGCCATTTTCATCTTTCATGTTTGGACCTCAAAGGAGAGAAGGATTTAAGCCATATGGAGGGTGGCTCAAAGTCAACCAGGGAGATGGCATAGGACCAAGGCATACGGAATTTCCACATTTAAAAGTTAACTAGAAGAGACTGAACTAGCAGAGGAGATTGAGAATTAGAAAGTCCAGAAAAGTAGAAGAAATACCAGATGATTCTGAAGCAGGGAAGTCAAGGAAGGAGACTGTTTAAGGAGGGAGAATTCTTCTGAGAGGGCAAGTGAGATGAGGACTGAGAATGTTCCATGGGGTTCAGTGACTTGGAAGTCATTGGCACGACGTTAGAGTACCTACACGGGGCAGAAGCTAGTCGCAGCCTGTGGGTGGTGAGGAGTGAATGGGCCATCAGAAAGTGAAAGCAGTGAAATAACAGCTCTGTTGAGAATGTTCTCTGTGACAGGGAGGAGAAAGAACAGGGACTAGCTCTGGGCTTGAGCGAAGATGTAGTGAAGGCAGAGAGGCTGCTAGTACAGGAGACTGAGAAGATGAGGAGGGGGAGGGAGCCTAGGGATTGGGAGGAAAGCAGAGAATGGATGCTGGGGAACAGAGGGTGGTGATGGGTCGAGACAGTTTCCTGTTGAGGCTTCTGTTTTCTGTGATGGAAGAGGCTCTGGCATTTTCTGAGTATGAGAAAACAGACTACTTTAGGGGCAGAGATGTGGGAAATAGCCCTGGTGGAGAATAGGAAAGTGAGTGTTCTGGAGCTTGGGCAGGATTGACAAGCAGCCCTGAGGGCTGGTTGGGGTTGGCTCCACTGAGTCTTGTGCAGAATTTCATTTGGTGTGCCGTGTGCCTCGCTGCCTTGCCAGTCGTGGAGAGGGTGAATAATTGTGTTCATCCGGGGAGACAACTACCTCCCGGCAGATGGATGCACTGAAGGAGTAGAGGGATGAGGGGTTTAGTGAGTCAGGCAGTGACTTCACTGATGAACTGTGGACTCTTAAGATGGATATGGAAAGATGTGAAGGCAGGAGGCGAGGAGGATTCAGAAGAAAGTAGAAGCAAGAGAACTCCAGGATCCGAGAAGAAACTGTTGAGTCGACAAGCTGGAAAAATAGGGTTATGATCTGAGTGGGTGTTTTTATCCTATGCATCACACATTCGGTACAACCTAAATCTTCACATACGGAGGTGGTGCTCCCTAGCTGGGGGCGGTGTATTTAAGGAGATTTTACTCCATGTCTGCTGAGTTGCCTTTTGTTATGTCTGTAATACTGGCTATTTAATATTAGGTTTCAAGTGGTAAAAGTTGCTCATGTTTGCTTTGGAGACTATACGTACATGAAAAGGGGGTGTGTTTGTGTTTAAGAAATATATTTTTGGTATCTTATATCCTGCAATTCTCATGATGGGCTCAAGCAAACAGAGCTTTCTTAGCAGGGTTACAGGATCTGTGAGGATGATGGTGCCAGGAAAGCTAGAGATACTTCAACAAAGATGAAGATAGGATTAGGAAGGCGAATTAGGGTGGTTTTATAAGAAGATCCACAATAGGGATATAAGAATGAATGTTGGATAGAGGATGGAGGGGAACAAGATCACTGGGGAACGTAAGAGAACTTGTCACATTTGCCACGCAGATAGATATTGATGTCACGTGGTAATGGCTAGGATGGAGGTGAAGACGTCACCCAGGGGAGAGGGCACTGGGCGTGGTCCATGAAAGTGACAAGGCAGGGGGGAGGGCAGTAGAATTGGATGGCATGGGCCTCAGAGGAACAGGGTTTTGTTGTTTTCTTTTTTAGGTGGTAAGGAAATGATGGTCTGGAAATCGGTAAAAAGCAAGTACTCCTTTCCTCCTCCTCCAGACCCCGAGAATTAGAGATGGCTAGGACAGTGAGTAGTGCAATGGTTCTCTTTATGTGCGGTCCTGCGACCAGCTGCATCTGATCAGCCACCGGGAACCTGTTAGAAATGCATTCTCAGGCCCCACAGACTCAGAAGCTCTGGGGGTGGGCCAGCAGTCTGTGTGTGTTTAAAGATTTTATTTATTTGTCAGAGAGAGAGAGAGAGTGAGCACAAGAAGGGGGAGCGGCAGAGGGGGAGGGGGAAGCAGGCTCCCCACCGAGCAAGGAGCCGGTTGCAGGACTCGATCCCAGGACCCTGGGATCATGATCTGAGCCAAAGGCAGACGTTTAACCAACTGAGCCCCCCAGACATCCCAGCAGTCTGTGTTTTGCCAAGCCCTCCAGGTGACTCCAGTGTGCTCGTGAGAACCACTGCTGCAATGACGTGTACTTGGGCGTGGGGAGGGAAGTAGTCAGTGTGTCCCATGAGCGGTCTGATGGATTTCCCCTGGTAGGTCTTGGAAGCAGGTAGAGCCTGGACTCAGTGGACTTGAGACTTTGTTCTTGTGGTCTCCAGTGGCATCAGGCTGATAATAATAGTCTCAGAGCACATGTTAGAAGTTTGGTCTTTGCCTGGACCTGGGAATTTGCTATTAGCCCCAGCAGTGATTACAAGGACTGGTTCATTTATAACTTTAGCCGTCATTGCTAGGGTTTTAAACACACGATTCACAATATGCACATGAGTTTATTTTTAAACCTTTCATAAACATTTCCTGTCATAAAAATAAGTTGTTATTCTTGTTAAGTGGTGGTTACTTGCAATTCAGAATTTCTTTTTCCTTAAGGAATGTGATGGATTGAATGTTATTTCAGATTTATCCTAATCACCCTATCTAGAATATACAGGTATGCCATTATTGTGATACTAAGGAGGGAAAGCATTTTATTAAAAAACTGCAAAACCTGTAAAAGGTGAAGGAGAAGGTTGTGTAAATGTGTGTGCTTTGTCGAGGAGGAATCATCGGAGCCGTGTTAAAAAGCCTCAGGGATGAGGTATACCCGGATTCAGTAGGTGTGATTCCTGCCTCAGTTCAGCCTTGGCCACAGACCTGTAATTTAGGATGCAGCTGGCTTGGCTCGGGCCCATAAAGGGAGAGAAGGAACCCCAGCAGCTCGGGCAGTCCTGGTGGCAGGCTGGCATCCTGAAAAAGAGCTGGGATTGGAGATGCGGAGGCTGGTGCATGCGTCCTGATGGGTGCATTGGAAATGTGTTGCATGGATGACTTCAACGAACATTTATTTTGCATGCCTGGTTTGTGCCAAGACACATTTTTTTCCCCCATTTAATTAAATGTTTATTCAATGAAAGTATGTCTAAAAACTTATAAATCTGAGAACTCAGCCATACATGAAACAGGATGACAGGATATTCAGTTTTAAACATATACGTACAGCACAGCTATGAACCGTTCTTCCCTTTTCCCTTCGGTCCTTATTTCTGGCTCCTGTTTTGTCCTGTCATACCATTCTGTTATTGGCCCAAGGAAAGATTAATGGACACATTTTACTGCTTTCAGGCCAGGGGAGGAAAGTTCAGGTGTTTAAAGCCAAGACACATTTTAAAGGCAAGGAAATTGAGGCCCCCAAAATTGATGTCTTCCCCAAATCAAAGTTAGTGAAGAAGCCAGGAATCGAATCCAGGTTCCTTAAGTCTGAAACGGGCTACCCCCGCCCCTGCCATGTGAATGTAGTGGCTTGGTTTCCTGTGGCCCCTGGACGTGGTCTCTTGTCACTCTCCCTCTCTCTGAAAACAACAAAACAAAAAGAAAGCCTCCAAAGTACTAAATTTGCATGATGGCGGGTCATCTTAAATCCCTGTCAACAAATGAGTCACTATCATGTAACATTTTAGCAAGCCCTAACTTCGGCAGGACAGATCTTTGAGGAAAGGAAAGGGGAGCGGGAAATGGCTCTTGGTCAGAGGACACCTAAGACACTTGTCAGTTTTGTTCAGTTGGCCCCGATGCCTTGTTTCGCTCTATTCCAAATCAAATATTGGGACCATAGGTTGCTGATTCCTCTTCAGAACATTTAAATGTTTAATTTGCATGTGAAGCATTCAGTTTGACCAAAAAAAATTAAACACTCATAATAAACAATTTTGGAAGGCTGCTGCCTTGCTCTGGATACTATTTGTGCTAAATTAATTTAATACACTAATCAGAGCTCTGATGCATTCTGTGAACTGCTAATCTTAAATCAGTGGATAAATGCTAGCGGCATTGGGCTGGTTTTATTTCACAGAAGGGACGATTTGGAGGTGGGGCTGGAGGGAAGTGGAAAAAATCAGAATAGAGTTGCACACTCTCTTTCCAGTACCTTCTCTGAGGTCCTGTTTCCTAGATCACTGCTGCCATGCTAAAGGGTTTCTTCTTTCCCTGTCCCTTCCCTCCCAGCCTCCCTTCCCTCCCAGCCTCCCTTCCCTCCCAGCCTCCCTTCCCTCTCCTCCCTTCCCTCCCTCCATGCTTTCATTCTCAGCTGTCTCTCCCTCCTTCTTTCTCTCTCTCTCCCTCTCTTTTTACTTTTGCTACTGGAGGAATTAGACTTGGGATGGTAATGCCTGTGAATCAGAATTCCAGAGCATTAATTAATTTCTTACTATTTAGTATTCTGTTTCACTCACACAAACTAAGTCATGGTCTTTTTCATGTAAGCATTTGATTAGATTCTGAGGGGCCAGATCAAGCGGGTCCTGGGCACAGGGCCACGTGTTACAGCAAGACTTGTTTCAGTTTTGAGTGATTTGGTCCTTGGGCTGAAACCATTGAAGCCTGATTCCAAGAAAACAAAACTGGAAGGACAATTTGTTCCATTTCCTTTTCTCCAGCATGCTTCATTTTTTTTTTAGGGTTTGGAGTTGGGAGACAGGACCCACTGAGAGAGGAATCCTGTAAGTGGGGAGAGAAAGGCTGTTGTATTGTTAGGGTCGCATTTCGCCTGAGTGATTAGCAGTCTTTGGCCATGAGGAAGAGGCCTCTAAAAATAACTGGTGAGCAGAGTTTGCAGTCAGGTCCAATTTCAGTTCTAGAGGCCTTGCCCGTGGAGCAGTTGGCCAGTCCCAAGCTCTAGTAGGGAAGGGTGTTCGGCGTGCCTGATACCTGCTGATAGCGCTCTGATTTTTCTCTTCCATCTGTGTTATTCATGGATTGAAGAGACCAAAATGGCTGAAGGTAAAGGTGCATTTTTATTGTTTGGGTTAAAAGTGGTTTAGGATCTAGCTGGCAGATTTTAGCTTTGTTTTCAGTTGTGCACTCTTAAAAATATTTTTGGCTAAGTGCTTCGACTGCATCTTCTACATTTTCTATTTTGAACTGCTGGAGACATCAACTTCTTGTGGTAGTTTAATTTTTCATGGAGTAATCTGTCTTTAATCTGTGTTTTGGTGTCTTAACTTAGAATATCTTTTAGTATGTTATACTGTCAGAGACCACATTTTACAACCTTCAGAAAAATGTACAAGTGGTCTTCTTTGATCTTACAATTACAGTGAATTTAAAGAATGGTGTGTATTCAGATCTCAGATTATGGGAAATTTAAGGCCTCTGTGAATCTCGTCTTATATTAGCGAGCACACTTAACTGGTTTAAGCAAAGCTCGACTCAGGCCTTACCATATGTGGAAACTGACCTAATTTTTGTGAAGCGGGCAATAAATGCAAAGTAAAGACACTAGGATTTTATTTATTTATATATTTTTTAGTGTAATTATTAACTTCAAGTGTTCTTTAACAATGCGTTGAATTTATATTCTTGTATATGTTTGTTTTTGCCGTACTTTTTAAGGTAAGACTGTCTTTCCACTTAATTGAGAGTAAGCTACATTAGCTCATTATGTTTTTGTTTTTCAATTTGATTTGGACTTCTTATTTATATGTTTTTGTTACATTAGATAACCCTACTAGAGTGGTAAAAACTACCACAGTTCTGCTGTGGCATGTATATTCACAAACAAAACACCATCTCAAGACCCCAGATTTCTGTAGCCTTCCCACTCTGCTCATTATGTTGAAATTTTATTTAAGAAAAAAAAAAAAAAAAAGACGTATTAAGACAGCTTACAACTCTCAACTGCCTAAGTGGCCACTGGAAGGAGTCTATTATTAGTATAGAGAATATGAGTATCCCTACTTTGAACATCATTTTGAGTAAATGGTTAGAATGGGTCATTTGACTATTCTGACAAAGTGCCTCATGTCGCCATGATGAAGAATTTGAGATATGTATCTTTAAGTTCTTTTATAAGACATTTCTCCTCTTTTCTGAGGATTATATAATCTGTGTAGTGAGATAAAATCAGCTGGTACTTCTGACCTACTGTTAACAGTTCTTGACTCACAAATGGTGACATTTTGTAACATGGAAAAAATAATCAGTTTGAGGAGTTGCTTGACAGTTTTTGTGTTTTTTTAAAAATTTTAAATGTGGGGTTTATGTATAAATATGAAATTACCAGCACAGTGCTAAGCAAAACTCATACATGGTTGATTTGTAATTCAGTTTGTTGTAACCCAGTTAAGTAATTGACTGACTCCTGTTCAGGTGCTGGGGTATATCTTCTATTTTCTTTTTCCTCAACCAAATAAATAAAATGACCTATTGTCCCTAGCCCACATTTTGTAGAGAGGCACATTTCATTGCTCACTGTGTTGAATAGTATGTAAGAACAGTTTTCTGATTTAGAGGTCGTTACTTTTGATGGGTCAGCATGGACAAAAATGAATCACATAGTTCTTACCATAATCTTAACCCCCATTAAAAAAATCTTCTTGACTAATCCCTGGGACTACAGGTCAAACAATAGTCAGAAAATGAAATGAAGACTCTTAGGTTTATTCTGATCTTAGGAAATAGGGTTAACTGCTAGACATTCTTCCAGAATACTTTGGAACAAAGTGCTGATTTCAGGTTTGCTTAGGGTGTTTTAAACTCTCTTGAAGTGTTTATCTTACTATGCTTTTTTCAGTTAATTGGACAGAAAATAATCTGCCCTTTGGGACTAGGTACACCATATTTACAAAGTGACATATCGTGGGAGTATTATTTGGTGTCAAGTAGAAAGTTCCTGTAACAGAGATGTCTTGGGAAAGATTCCTTTCTATAATTTACCGTTTTGTTCCTTTGTGGTATTAGTAGATATTAACAGTAATAAGATTAATGAAACTAGAGTAAGAATTTATTTGACATTAGAAAGGAAGGATAAAATACTGCTAATAATTTCATATTCTAGCTAAGTAACATTTACCCTTTTTTGACATTAATCTTTTAAGGTGATAAATTTGTTTGATAAATTATACTGTAAATGAAAACCATTTCTGGATTTATTACGCCTTTTTTGCATTCTTAAACAGTTTCAAATAATATTTTAATGACAAACTCAGTCTGAATGTCATCATTCCCTTGTACTTAAGATTATTTTAAGGGCAATTTAAGATTATTTTAAGGATAGTTCGAGGTTTGCCTGCATGCATCAATCATAGATCACCCCCTGCCATTTAATTTTTTCAAATTCTTTGCTCTTGCTGCTGGTTTTCATACTTCCTACAGGCCTTCCTTCCAGCAGCACTTTGTTGCTTGAACTCCTATAGGTGAGGTTCTCTTTAAAGTATATTCTTTAGTTTTGTGCAGTATGTTAGGAAACTTGATCAAAGTTGTTAGAATCATGTTTAAAACAAATATAAGTGGATTCTAGTTAAAGGTATGTTCTTTACTATGTTTTGATCCCCTTCCCCCCATCTCTGCTACGGTGCATGAATTTATGTAATTTAAAGAAAACTTTTTGTACCTTTTACTTATATTTGGTGTTGCAGGTCAGTAACTTAGATGAGTATTTGCTGAATTAACTCAGATAAATGAGTCTTTCCTTTTGAGAATCTTAGAAATTTTCCTCCTCCATTTCTGCTTTAAGAAAGAAATAGACATGGAGATAGACTTGAACTTTGAATTCAAGTAATTGTTTCATTAGCTATTCCATTACAAGCTCCTTTTAAATTAGAAATCCATATTTGGAGGTAAATGGATATTCCAGAAGGCATTTTTCTTATTATAATTAGTATTCTATATAAACAGGTATGTATGTATATATTTGTATGCTATATAAAATTAAGGTTTTTTTTTTTTAAGATTTATGTATTTATTTGAGAGAGAGAGAGAAGGAGCGAGCACGAGTGTGAGGGTTAGGGGGAGAGGGAGAGAATCTCAGGCAGACTCTGCGCTGAGTGTGGAGCCTGACCCTGGGCTCGATCTCACAACCCTGAGCCAAAATCAGGAGTTGGTCACTTAACTGACTGAGCCAACCAGGTGCCCCGGAAATAAGGGATTTTTTTTTATATAGCATTGAAAAATGTCTTCATGTTCACTGAAGTTTTAATAAATTAAACACATAACATTGCTAGTGAATCTGTGGTGCTCCCGTCCCCACTTTTTTCTTTACTTTTTAAAAATTTTAGTGATGTTCTATATTGTTCTTATAATTTTTATGCTTAAGACACACAAAAGTATTGGAAATCGTCATTTTCCCCCATCAACATTGCCAGAGTTTTTACCCAGTCTCCCCCTCCCATGGCTGTGTTCAGATATTGAAACAGTGAAGCCTGTTTTAAGTGGATTTAATATGTAACTTCATAATTTATGCCCAGTAAGGATTTTTTTTAATGTAAACATTATGATTTTATAAAGCAAGCTTTTTGGAGACTTTTAATAATAGATCATATTAGAAACAGATTAGATGGCCATATGTTATTTGGTGAGTATTCTTTTGTGAATTCTATGACTATAAATCTGGTCCTTTTTGATAGGTCTATTAATATTTAAAGAACATTAGAAAGGGAAATTGACTTTTTTGTTAAGAATGAAATTTGTCTTAGTCATATTTTTATAGACTTAAATATGGCTATATAGATAAAAAATGTATGTATTTGAGTGTGTATACATACATACACTCACTCTGACTGATACAGTTTTTACGGCCCCTTTTGAAAAGTTGATCGATCGTGATTTGTTTAAAAAACTGTGTATCTTTTTAATAAGAAGAATTTCATTTCATTTTTTCTTCCAGAAGATTTGGCAGTATATTCTTAATTTGAGGCACTGGGTACTACTCCCAGTATTCTGTAATGAGAGTTGGATTTAGGAGTGAGAAAGCCAGTTCTAGATTAGAGCTAGTGAGCTTTGTTAAAGTCATGTAATTTGGCCCACTCACACGGATCAAGGAACTCAGGACCAGAGAAGTCAGGTTAATTCCTAGCTCTATCCAACTTGTGCTGGGGACTTGGAGTAAACCACGTAATCTTTTTTCTATAAAACAGGGATGATTATTACTGTCCTTACCCCCAGTGGTTCTGACCCAGGCACCGCCCTTGTAGGGGACACTGGGAAGAGTTTGGGTATATTTTTGTTTGTCATCATCGGGGAGCTACTTACCTCCGGGACCCGAGGAAACCAGGGATGCCAGCTGCCCTGCAGTGTGAGGCACAGTTGCACTGGATAAAGAATTGTTCTTTATAGACATCCAGAAACGCCCTCTTGAGATCCACTGACCAGACCTTTGTGAGAGTCACATGCTGCCATGCACATGGGAGCACTTTGAAGTACATGGCACATGCTCAACAAAGAGAAGACAGTGTCCTGCTGTCCTACCTGCTTGATAAACTTGTCCTTTTCTCAGAGGACATTTGGGAATATGACATATCCTTTGAATAATATTTATTATGTTCCTTTCCAAAAGAAATTTGAATACGGTGGTCCTTTCTTTTAAGGACAGCGTTGACCATTTTCTGTCAGTATCACTTGACTTTCATTATTTTTGTTTACTTTTGGCTGTAAGAAGACTATTTCCAGAAGAATAGCAAATGTAATAAATGACACTCAGTGGACTGCAGGTATACAAAGCTGTTTCCTGCATTGAGACGGATTGTGAATGATGAGCCTTTTCCTGCTTCCTTAGGCCCCGGTGGATCTTGTAAAGGAGGAGGACTGATTGTTGTACTATTTTGCTTCTCTTCTTCCCTGACCTCTATTTCCTATAAGTAGTCTCCTTCTCTTCTTCTGTCTCTCTCTGGCTAAGAATATGGAGCCATTTTTGGGGGAGATATTTTCTGTGGCCATTAACAGGCTTTTTAAGATTCTCCAGAAGCTAAATGGGTCAAAGAAAAGGATGTGGCCACATTTCTATGTGATTTCATGAAGCTGTTGATATGCACTAAACTTTGGAGGAGGTTATATGTAAAGAACTTAGAAGGAAGGTATACATATTACATATAATATACATATGATATCAACCTTTATTTTTATTTTTATTTATTTTTTTAAGATTTTATTTATTTATTTGACAGAGAGAGACACAGCGAGAGAGGGAACACAAGCAAAGGGAGTGGGAGAGGGAGAAGCAGGCTTCCCGCGGAGCAGGGAGCCTGACGCGGGGCTCGATCCCAGGACCCTGGGATCATGACCTGAGCCGAAGGCAGATGCTTAACGATTGAGCCACCCAGGCGCCCCTCAACCTTTATTTTTAAAAAATTGTTAGCCAATAAGTGTTTTTTTTTTCTTCGTTACTTCTGAGTCAGAGTTTTATATGTGTGGTGTTGAGTCTGAGCAGAATCTTTTCTGTTTCAGAATCTTCATTGTAGGTGGCTCAGATGGTTGGACGTCTGCCTTCGGCTCAGGTCATGATCTCCAGGTCCTGGGATCGAGTCCCACGTCGGGCTCTCGGCTCAGTGGGGAGTCTGCTTCTCCCTCTCCCTCTACCTTTCCCCCTGCTTGTGCTCTCTCTCTCAAATGAATAAATAAAAAAATCTTTAAAAAAAATCTTATTTTATTTAACATGTTTTGAGAATTTGAGTGAAAACTATTTTTGAAATGATTTACCATTGTAAGTACTTTCAAGGAACTGGAGAAATAATTCAGCAAAAAGAGGTGTTCACTAAGGTGTCTTCTTCTATAATGACATTGTTCATCTGTTTTGTTTTTAAACAGAGACAAAGCCTGGAGGACACAAAAATGGGAGGAAAGGAGGACTTTCTGGAAGTTCATTTTTCACATGGTTTATGGTCATTGCATTGCTGGGAGTCTGGACATCAGTAGCTGTCGTCTGGTTTGATCTTGTTGATTATGAGGAAGTTTTAGGTAAGAATTTTGGTGTTGTTTCTTATGTGAATTTGTAAGCATGAAAGACATCCTTTAGTAATCTTAAAGATTTATCATATTTTGGGGGTAATTTCTGTAGCCTTTCAGTTGTTCTCAACAGTGTAGAAACAAAAGGGGGTGTTATCAGGGTTACCTGGGAGTAGTGGCTTTTCAACTTCTTCGAACATAATCTGTAGTAAAAATAAAAAATAGGTATTTATTGTATGTATATCACACAGGAAAGTTTTATCAAACAGTACTTAACTATTAGGAAATGCAGTACTATATCATTTCTATTCCATCTTGTTATATTATGAATTTTAAACATTTATGAGCCACTGAATTTATATCAGGACCCAGTTTGCTAGACCCTTCCTTAGAGAGCATTTGGAAGCACACCCCATTGTCTTTGTTGGAATGAATCAGTGTGTGTGTATGTGTATATGTGTGTATTGGTGTTGGTATAGGGGTGTGTGTGTGTGTGTGTGTGTGTGTGTGTGTGTGTGTTGGGATAGGTGCTGTCTGTATGCTGTTGAGGAGGTTGCGATGTTATTTCTGATAGTTGTCTTCCTTTCTCCTTGTTTTTCCTTTTCTCTTCCCATAATCACTGCAGTTTTTCAATACTTTTTACATTAATGATTCTTTACCATTTTTGGAGTCATACTCCGAAGTCATAAAGTCTTTTTTTCAATTGAGATAAAATTTACATAACATAAAATTCAATATTGTTAATATGTGAAGATGTACAGTTTACTGGTTTTTAATATATTCCTCATGATCTAATTCAGAATATTTCCACCACCCCCTCCTTCTCTCTCCTGGCAAACATATATTTCTGTGTCTATGATTTTCTTACTCCTGACATTTCATATAAATGGAATCATACAATATGTGGCCTTTTGTGTCTGCCTTTTTGCATTTAGCATACTGTTTTCAGGGTTCAGTGCTTACTCCATTTTATAGCTGAATAACATTCCATTGAATGGATACTCACCACATTTTGCATATCCATTCATCAGTGATGGACCTTTGAGTTCTTTCCACTTTTTGGCTATTGTGAATACATACATACAACTAGATCATTAAAGATCTAGTTGAAAGTGTGGACCCTGTCACTGAAAAAAATGCATGCTCATCTATATGTACCGTGTTGCATAGAATACCCCATCCCTTCCATAAAGCCTTCTGTACTTCTGCTTTAGATGTTAGATTATAGCCGTCTTTCGATGGGGTGGGGGGAGGCAAAACATGCTTATGGATAATCTGCCGTTTGTTGCAGTTTTTCATTGTTACTTAAAGGAGAGTGTCTCTGGATAGATGATAGAGTAATAGAGGAAGAATTTTAGTTCGGAGACAAACTTCTGAGTAGATCTGTGCTTTTGTTGACTTACAGTGATATGTTGCTAGGGAACATCTCTTAAGCAAAAGAAGAGATTAAAAATGTTTGTACGTTTAAGGGCAAGTTAACAATTTTCGTGTTTTTACATGCATGCAGCCAAAGCAAAGGACTTCCGTTATAACTTATCGGAGGTACTTCAAGGTAGGCTATTGGAGATACATTTTAAGTCTACTTGTGTTAGTCTCTAAAACCTCATCCTTATTCTATTAATTTAGTTATCCCCTGCATCAGAGAAAATAGGTGGTAGGACCAACTTTTCCCTTTGTTTGTCAGAAAGTATGGTATTTTCTGTCTTTTTAATGTTATTTGAGCTCTGTGCTATAGATAGCCTCCACCTGCAGATCAACGCTTCTTATTTATATTTTCTTAGCCATAGAAATGATAACTTCCTTATCTCTCCGTTATTAATTTTTATTTTTATTTTTAATGTGTGTGTGTGTGTGCTTTCTAAACCAGATTTCTACATAGCTAGTTAACTATTTTCCTAAGTAGAACGAGGGCTCTGGGAGGGTAAAGATTGATCACAGCCACTCTACTCCAAAAGTTCTGCCTGCTCTCCTGCAGTGTTTTAACTTAACGTTTTATTAAAGAGATGGTAACAGTGCTGCAGACTGATTTTTTAGTACTAACGCTGTATTTGTGGATGCTGTTTAAAATATTGCTCTATGTGATGTCTCCTCACAGCCATTGTCCAATGCTGAGTTCTAAATGATGTTGGTTTTAGAATGTTTTTTAGGGAATTGAATGTGTTTGACTCACGTTTGGAGTACTAAACATGGCAGTGTTCCTAGATGATAAAGCCTTAAGATAACATTTTACTCTGCTTGAAGAGGAAAGGCTCTGAGAGTACTGTCTTTTCAAGTGGTCTGGTTTAAGCTTTTTTTTATTTTTCCTTGATAGTAGATGGCCAGTGCTAGTTAAGTTTTAAGTGGGATAACGAAGTTTTCCTTTGTCGTTTCAGGAAGCCAGTTTTATATACTGCATTTCCAGTATATAAAAGTCTTTTTTTTTAAGTTGATTCATGATGTTTCTGTTATGAATCATTATTGTAAAATATAAAATTAATTGCGCTCTTATTTTTAGTACTTATACTTGGCGTTAATTATTTATACTTAGTCTTTATTTGACGCTTGGTAGGTGTTCTCTTTATTTTCAGTATTGATGGTGGTGAGGAACTTTCATACTGTAGAAGCATTACATTTTATGTAACTTAGAAATCATTAATGTTTCTTATTTATGTTGAAATTTTTACCAAAATTATTTTTGGCAACATAATAAAAAAATTCAGCTAAAATGATTAAATCAGCAGATTGTTAAAACTTTAAGGAAAATATTATCTCAGTTATATTTCTTAGATTGTAAGGCAAACATTTCCTGAATCTATCATTTTTAGGTAAGATCTTCACTTAACACTGCTTTTCAGGATTCAGAGAGCAAAGAATTGCATTGATTGGTAATATTTATGACTGATGGTCAGGACTGTAATAAGGGGTAATACCTTATCAAACTTGTTTTCCCTTTTCTTCCCATCCATTTTTTCCTCCCTCTTGCAGGAAAACTAGGAGTCTATGATGCTGATGGTGATGGAGATTTTGATGTGGATGATGCCAAAGTTTTACTAGGCAAGTAGACATTTTATTTTTTGTTAATGGTGATCTTTGCCTTGATAATATCTGTGTCCAGTCACACACATTTTATGGAAAATATTTCCCACTTCAGTTCTGTATTTCATTCTTACTGAAATGTTAATGGCTTAATTGTTTTTCCATGGATTTATATTTCAATATACTTTTATAAATGGGTAAGTATAGACTTCTTGTACATATATTTTCAATAAGCATAATTTCATATCTGTGTTCAGATTTAAAGCAGTTCCTAATCTGGACTTAATATTTGAACATATAGATAAGGTACTAGCCTGTTTTCAAATATGGTAATTATAGTCACTTTTGAGCATTAGTTGACGTAATTCACTTCCATTTGAAAATGTAAGTTTCTAAAGGCTTACATAAATCCATTTTGAAATAAAAATTGTGGTAGCCGACATTTTAAAATGTCCTATGCCTATTTTAAAGGTAACATTAAAATATGAACCAGTAGTTTTTGGCTGGGTTTCTTTATTTTAGAAATCTTGAACCCTTCTCTTTCTACCACCAGAATTACCTGTCTTTATCATTGAGATATTTCTTGTAATGTATAAATATGTGATATTCCCTCATTTGTTTTAAAATGCTGCCTTCCTAGAAAAAAACGATGTTAATTTTAATATGCAAGTTTTATATGATCTGGCCTAGTGAGATATGTGTTTCTGCTTGTTAAAGAGCATCACTTCCTTTGTTTTACTATGTAGTGTTACATGTATTAAAATTTTGTATACTAAAGTACTTAGAAAAATAATAAATATGTCATGGTAATATATACTATACTTACTAAAGTAATGATGCAAAGAAATTCATCCTAGACACACAATTTTGTGTTTATCTTATGGATATGAAAAAAATGGGAGGGTATCACATTTATAACCAATATGAATAAATAGTTTTAGGTAGATTAATCTTAACCTCCTTATAAACAGTAAGTTCTAAATATGAAAAAAAGTGTTTTAGTTGTGATTAAATGTAATTTAGCTTCTTAATTTTGACCTTAGTTTGTTTTCTTATACTTCTCAATGGGAATTATATTTGCTACTTAACAATGGAAGTTTACTCTCAATGAAATTTTTTTCCTCTCTTAACCTTAATGGAATTTTCTATATAATTTTGTCATTACGTTTTTTCTAATTTTTTATGGATATAGTAAATCTAAATCTAAATTTTTCTATGGATATAGTAAATCCTCAGAAGACTATAATCCTAGACATGCAAAAGAAGTAAAATGTATAGAATTTAACCTATCAGAATGATGCTAATTTGCTTGCCTATAAATGGTTTATTACTCCATCGTATTACTTTACTTTAAATGATGGATTCTGAATAGTTATCATTTTAAAGATAACTTCATGTGGGCCATGTTTCCTCATTTTTAGGAATAATATTACTTCTCATCTGCTATATTTTGTTGGGTTTTTTTTTTTTTTGGCTTGAAGTCAGCTATGTGAAAAAAATAAAATCAACAATGTGGTCTGTCAGATAGGAAATATCAACTATTAAAAATTAAAATGTTATTTCTTTATAGAGCACACTGATTTCTATAGAAACTTACATTAATAACTTGATTTTTAGTATTTTAGATTGCAAGAGTTTATATCCCGTAAGGTTTTTCAGCAACCATTAAGAGGCTAATTAATTGAAACTAAAAACATTGCCATTTGCAGTAGACATTTATTTGGTATGGGCAAATCATAACTTGTTCCTTTTATAAGAATTATATATTTGGAGGAACCAAATTTGGTGAATCTCAGAGTTCATTTTGGTAATTTGACTATTAAATGCACAAAGGCTAAAATAAAGGATTTTATCATATAAAGGTACTAATTCATAGTTAGCTTATGGCTTTACAGTTAGCCGAAATAAACCAGAGGTGAGCTGTCAGGCTCACTTATGTCCTCTGACCTTATTTCTATAGTGATTGAATTTTCTGCATGAAATACAAGCTTGACTAGAATTGAATTCTATGACTAAAGGTCTTTTTTAGTTTTGTGAGGTAATTGTAGCTTAGTTGTGCCTCTGTTACTGGCAGGTGGTTGCAAAGAGAGAGCCTGATGAGATTCTTGGGGTACAGAGACATTAATGGGCTCTGTATCTTCAGGGAGAGGTTATGGGGGAGCAAATTCAGTGAGTGTGTACCCAAAAAGAAGCCAGGCTTCCTGGGTGTACTCTCGTTGGAGAGGCAGCTCAGGAGTAAGGGTTTGGATTAAGGCACCAGGAAACCAAAGGGCAGATACAGGTAGGAAGCTAGAGATTAGGGGAGAGCTTGTAATAACAGTTGAAATATGCTCAGCTTTCATAGGTTTGGCATTTCTTTCATAAGTATTTCTTTCTGCATTCTTAACTTTGCATAATCTAAATCTTATCAATTTGAGGAAGTGTACACATTCATATTTACATTGCACATTTTAAGATTTGGTTTTTCTTGTGAAATATAAAGAGAGAATGAAATATGTGTGAGTAAATCAAGATATTCTGAACAGCCATCATTAGTTTTATTTCATTGTTTCTGGCCATGGCCCTTATGATATACTTTGAAAATGTTCTAAGCCTTTCCTAGTTTACATAGCTTCCTACTTTTGTGGCCAAATTACTTAGAATAAAATATCTTTGATATCGGTTTGGCTTATTGAAAACTACATTGCTGGAAATTGTATTCTTTGAAAACTTGTTTCCCGAATAAAATCAATAGGAAAATGATCCAAGGACCACTTGCTAAGAGTAACATCCTTTTAGAGTAATGCCACCTAAGGATTGCGTGATTGTCCTTTTGTCCATGACTAGCACCTAGCTGCCTCCATATCAGGTATGGCTGGAGAACAAAAGGGAAGCCAGTCAACAATTCCTAGAGCCTTGATAAACATTTGTAGACTGGACAGACGCATAAGTGAACTAGATCTTGTACACTCAGAGGTGCTCACACCCTGCCCTTGGGTTCAGGCCTGCTGTTAGAGGCTAAGGAATTAATATACCCAGAATATTTCCTTTTTCACTTTGGAGTAATATTTTTGTCTAAAGAACCACAGGAAGGTTGTTGCATAGTTGGGTCTATAGTTTGTTCAGATACTTTTACATATTTGTTGAATACTTCAGCTTGTCATACTGAAGGCTGGTAAAGTTTTATATTTTATATTTGATACTTTGAAATACTAATATTTGAAAATGGAGAAAAATAAACATGTTTATTAGAAATATACAGCTATAGTGTTTTAAGGCAGGAAGAAGAAACAATGTTATTCCCACAGAGATTTCAGTGGGAATACAGATCTCCTCTGTTCATAGCACTTGTCAACTGTTAGATTTAGTGAAAAAATATTCTAGTTGTGTCAACAAGTAATTTAAATACCAAAAATACTAACTGCAGTTTGTTTTCTCCCCCCGACCTCCACCTATGAACAATGATATGATGTAGTTCTTCTGGGCACTGAAGTGAGGAAAATACACTGTATACTTTAATATTTATGCTAGCTGTCTCATTGTTGTACCTTCCTGCCCATCTTGATTCCTGGCTGTTATGTTTACATGGAGAAACGTTGAGCCGCCAAAGCCCAACCTACTGAATGAGGGTGGTTAGCATCGGAAAAGCTCTCAAGTCATGGATGTTCACAATTCTTATAGCCAGAACTGTCTACCCTGTGTTTTTTCTCTTTCAGAATTACGGGTCTTGCTATATAGGGCGTGCCCAGTATTGGTGGATTTTGATATTTACTGGGCTGAGAGATATTTCTTACCCGAAGCCAGTTACTAAACAGGAAAAAAAAATGATAAAACCAATGTATACGTTGCTTTCTTTCCATCGTGATGGCCTGTTTTGGGACTAATACTTAAACAACAGGAGTCACGGGTCTTTACAGTAGAAGCTAATTTCTGGGGCTTATGTGAAGAGGACTTCAAATATTCCTGTTGCAAATGACCGGCTGGGTCCTTGATCAAATTTAATATTGGTTAGCAGAGTGAATTATTATTAATAGCTGATGCTTATTATTGGTCAGAATTATAGGACCATGAGTAAGTAGCCAGAGCACTGTAAAGCTAACATTTGGTAGTGTGAACATTTGATTATCTGATATAATTTGAATAAATTTATGTTCATCTGTGGATGCTATAAACAGTAATCTTGCTAGTCATATTAACCCCAGAGTTTCTTAAGTAAACTCTAGGTCCGAAGGGGAAAAGTGTGAGGAAATGAACCTTTTTATTCGATGAATATTTATTGATATATGTAAATGCTTGTATAATCAACTCTCGATAATACCTGGTTGGTAAATCAGCAAACGTGGAGGCTGTCAGAAGGCTCTATCTTTTTACCCTCTATTACTTTTGTTCATTCTTCCCATTGACGTTAATCAGTCGATTTTGGCTAACACAATTTTGTGTTTGGGGCTCTAGATTCTCTTAATGAGAGAAAGGCAAACCTAGTTAGGGGCTGGTAGGAATGGTTGAGGATTGGTCAAATTGTGCCTTTCCTGTAGTACATGATTGAGAGTTGATTGTAAGGTGTGCATCTTAATCAGTTTCTTTGTTTTCCGAAGTATCTTTTCTGTTAACTTCTGTGACCATGATGCACATCCTTTTTGAGATCACTCTTCCTCAACTTCTTTTTTCCACCTAACTGCTCTCCTTATTTTCTCTTTCTCTCTTCCTTTATTCTTATGTAGGCCTGACCAAAGATGGCAGTAATGAAAATATTGATTCTCTTGAGGAAGTCCTTAATATTTTAGCAGAGGAAAGTTCAGATTGGTTTTATGGTTTCCTCTCATTTCTCTATGATATAATGACTCCCTTTGAAATGCTAGAAGAAGAAGAAGAAGAAAGCGAAACTGCAGATGGTGTTGATGGTACGTCACAGAACGAAGGGGTTCAGGGCAAGACTTGTGTCATTTTGGATTTACATAACCAGTAACTTTGATTCAGGGACTGAAGTCATTGGCTTATGAAAACCCGAAGCAGTGTCCTGTTTCTTTCTTTCCTTTGCT